TCCTTCTCTCCCTTCCTCTCTATTAAATCAATTTTAAAAATGTTTTAAATAATAATAAATTGCCTGCCATAACCAGGGGCTCACTGGCTAGTCCCAGCCACCAGCCAAGGCTGGGAGCCCCCTTTCCCACCTTCCTGTATGTGTCCCAGCTGCTTAGCACCAGCATCCGGTAGACACAGCCGATGCCAGAAACTCATTCAATCATCCAGATGTTTGCTCTATGGGCACCCAACATCTGCATGATGGAAACACGGAAAAGAAAATCCTGAGTTCCGCCTCTCCCGGGGCCAGGCGCCTGGGCTCCAGGGACACCTGGGGTCAGGTATCTGGCTGTGCTTTCTGCCGTCGCTTCACCCAGTTCCCGACCCAGACCTGGCGCCCAGTGGATTGCTCCATCCACGATTTCAAAGTGGAAGGATAAACACAGGAAGCCTGTGGCCGTCACAGTTGTACCAGCCAAATCCTTGATAGAGCCCGGGGCCAGAAGAGAATTACAAAACAATAGGAGGAGGGGTGGAGGGGGGCGGGCATCTGATTGCTTTATTTTCAGGCTGCAATTCTTAAGACAAAGGGGAAAGAAAAGGCCGAGGGAGGAGAAACCTCTTTGGTGTGTAATTAACAGAAATCTCTCAGTTTCCATGTCTGTGAAATGGGGATAATCCCTCCCTTCCCAAGCTTCGTCGATATGGGAAAAAATGCGAATATACTTCACCAATAGTGTATCAGAATAGTGATTGTCATGAAACTCCATGGTGGTGATGACACAAATAACAGCAGCCTATGGTCATTCATTCATTCAACAAAAACAGTACGAGCACCTTTCCTGTGTATGCACTGCTCTGGGCGCTGGGGATACAGAGCCGAGAAAGACCGCCATGGCCCCTGCCCTTGATAGAGCTCACACCGACTAGGGCAGGGGTCCTCAAACTACAGCCCGAGGGCCACATGCAAATACAAATATTGTATTTGTTCCCGTTTTGTTTTTTTACTTCAAAATAAGAGATGTGCAGTGTGCATAGGAATTTGTTCATAGTTTTTTTTTTAAACTATAGTCCGGCCCTCCAACGGTCTGAGGGACAGTGAACTGGCCCCCTGTTTAAAAAGTTTGAGGACCCCTGGACTAGGGGGCAGGCAGCTTTCAGACCGGCACGAAGTACTGTCATGAAAATAAAACATTTTCATCTAATAGACAGTGGATGGGGGTGGGGCCGACTGGAAGTGGGGGGCAGGTGAAGAGGGACCTCTCTGAGGAGGTGACAGGTGAGCTGAGACCTGGAGGAGGAGGAGGAGGAGGAGGAACGGGTCGTGCACACAGTGGCCGGGAACAGAGGGAACAGCCCATGCGAAGGCCGAGGTGGGAACGCCCAAGAGTGGAAGCAACATACTGAGGATAGAGAAAAGGAGGAGAGACTTCTAGAGGGCTGCAGAGGTGAGGATGGAGGGAGCAGTCCGGAGTTGGATGGTTGTACTCTGTGATGGAAGCCCCCTCGGGCTGCTTCGTGGAGAGAGGGTTGTGGGGGGCAAGCCTGGATATGGGGAGACCAGGGAGACCCTTGTAGACGAAAGGGTGGCGTGCGTGAGCCCAGCATCTGCTAAATGCTTACACGTGGCATCTCATTTAATCCTCCCGGCAACCCTGTGAGCAGCTAATTCTTATTCTACCCATTTCACAGATGAGAAAGCTGAGGCTTTGGAGAAATTGAGTAGCTTACCAAGGTCATAGAGACTAATTCTAGCCCTAACTCTGAGCTGATGGAAATGGTGGAGCTGGGATTTGAGTCCCGGCGGTCTGACTCCTGAGCCCATGGGATCCTGTGTCATAACCATCTAAGGCCCTTTGAGTTGGGGGACAGGGTTGGGTGACCCCCGGGAGGGCTCAGTCCTTCCTGAGGCTCTTGGATAGACCCTGCAAGGACCTCATCCGTCTGTGATGTTCTTTTGAATCAGAGAGAACCTGCCCTGATTCTGCGCAGAGCGCCAGTGGAAGGGAGAAGTCACTCCTGCAGACATGAATGACTTTACTCTCAAAAACCCTTTTACTGAGGCGTAACTTGCTGCAGGAAGTGCATTCATCTTATACGTTCAGACAAGTGGGTTTTTACCTAGAAAGTCACGGGCATGCCATGCCATGCTGTGTTGCACTCGGAACTACCACCTAGATCCTGATATCGAGTTAACCTCCCCTGTATCCAGGACAATTTTAAGGGTGACGTTTGTGACTTAAACACAACATGTTTTTGCCCTGTGTCAGGTTTCCCCAAGATCTCCAGCCCCGCCCCCCCACCCCCACCCCCACCCCAGCCAGAATTCTGCTGGAAACTCCCTAGTGACTCCCAGATCCTGGGCTGGGGGCCCTTCAGATCCTGGGCTGGGGCCCTTCAGATCCTGGGCTGGGGGCCTTCAGGGCAGATCTGCACCAAAGGCCTTGCCCACAAACTAAGACACGATGATGCTTTAAAAGTGCCTGAATGCCCAGGTCTCTAGCATGATACTCTTCTCACAGCCGTCAGTGAGGCATTTTCATACATATCTCTTCTCAAAAAGAGGCCTCAGTTTCACCATCTGTACAATGGGGGGATGGGAAGGGATGCATTTGATGAAGTAGAGTCTCTCCTAAACTCTAAAAAGCCTAAGATTCCCAGGGCTGTGCGGGAGTGACAAACACATCCAGACACCACTTCCTCCTTCCAAAGGAGGGAGCAATCCCTCACGCCCCCCTCCCGCCTCTCCTTAAAATCTGACACCGGAGATTTTGACGTGCGCCCTCCTCGTCCCACGGAGGAGTCTGCTCAGAGGACAGCTTAGGTTTGCAAGTTGCTTTAGAGTCGCCGAAACCGGTTTGGCTCAGTGGATAGAGTGTCGGCCTGCGGACTGAAGGGTCCCGGGTTCGATTCCGGTCAAGGGCATGTACCTGGGTTGCGGGCACATCCCCAGTGGGAGATGTGCAGGAGGCAGCTGATCGATGTTTCTCATCGATGTTTCTAACTCTCTATCTCTCTCCCTTCCTCTCTGTAAAAAATCAATAAAATATATTAAAAAAAAAAAAG